TCAACTCTAAAATCTGGGTACTGGGATCGACTCTCTGAACTTCGTGACGGAACTGCAGGACGGACCGTCATAGATACGACGGACCGTCACAAGTTGCGTAACCTCACTATTGAATTTAACTCTCTGAGCTTTGTGACGGAACTTCAGGATGGACCGTCGCCGATACGACGGGCCGTCACAAGTTGCGTAACCTCAACTGGGTCGGATTTCTGCTAAAAGTTTTAAAGGGGTGTTTTGGACTATTCATGATTATAATTATAGAATTAGTGGGGTAAGTTTAATAATTTATTTACTTGGGGGTTAAAAAAGATAATAAGGAAATAAATGGTGGGTTACTTTTATCATAACGGATTATATGATAATTAGGGTAAAAGAAAAAGAATCTGTAGAAGGAAAATAAAAAAGAACAGGAAGAGGGGAGAACGAGCGAGAGAGAGAGAGAACGAAGAGGAAAGCAAAGGCATTAGGAAGTAGCTTGCTTGATCACAATTCTTCGGTGGAGGTAGATTATGGTTTATTTCTATGTGATAGATAAACTCTAAATAGAGATCGATATGTATTGGGTGATACTGTAAAGTCTTCAATATGCTTGATTGTGTGTTTGTATGTTGTGATTGTGTAATTGTGGTGGTCAGAATGATGAGACTGTTGAATCTTCAATCTTAAATCCTCTCTATTAAGATGACGCCTTGACAGAAAGAAGGCTTGATGAACTAAAATAATGAGATAAATGGATCGGAGTGTCACGTTCCGACACGGTAGTATTAGGAGATCGGAGTGTCACGTTCCGACACGGTAGCATTAGGGGATCGAAGTGTCACGTTCCGACACGATAGTATTAGGGGATCGGAATGTCACGTTCTGACACGGTAGCATTAGGGGATCGGAGTGTCACGTTCTGATACGGTAGCATTAGGGGATCGGAGTGTCACGTTCCGATACGGTATTATTAGGGGATCGGAGTGTCACGTTCCGACACGATAATGATAAAGAGAATGAATCTTGAATTATGTTAATATACTCAAATTCGAAGAACCTATTTCCCAAATGAGTGTTGTGTGGAGGCTTGAGTCCCTTTAGGTGTGCTTGGTGTTGTTGCCAATGGTTTTTATAGTTATTGATTGTCACCTGTTAAGTATTGTGGTTGATTTTATATTATTATTCAGCATATATTGTTTTCTATTTCGAGTTGGCCGATGATACCTACTCAGTGCGTGTTCCTTGTACTGACCCCTACTTGTGTTTTCTTCTTTTTTATTTGTGGAGTGCAGCAAACGTGTCATCGACTTCGACTCGTCATCAATTCTAGCCAGTCTTCAGTATATCAGAGTTCAGGGTGAGCTATTATTCCTAGCTCGTACTGGAGTCTCTCCTTCACGTCTTGATGTCTTGAAGTTCGGACATAGACCATCTTTTTACTATTTTTAGCTTCTTAAATACTCTTAGATTTATAAAATTGAGGATAGATGTTCTTGGTGTGATGACTTCCAGATTTTGGGAATAATAAGTATTTAACTTTAGAAGATGATTTACTTGATTTCGTTAATAAGCTTTGGATCGTCCGCATTATTTTTTTACTATTCATAATTGATATACTGGTAAATGTTGGGTTTAGATTTGTTGGTTCGCTCACCTAGGAGGATAAGTGTGGGTGCCACTCGCGACTCGTTTTGGATCATGATAATTTTCCTCCGTTGATTTTTATCATTAGTAGCCTATAATTATTATTACCAATCATCATCGCTATTATAATATTCAATCACTATTATTAATGACCGTCATCATTACTATCTATTATCAACCACCAACTCGAGTTGTTGATGTGACACCCTCTAATAACCATCATTTATAATTATCTATTTTCTTTTTTTCTTTTGCATTTTTTAAATCATAATTAACATTAATGCCAACAGTAAGTCCATCCACTAGCAACTTCTAATAAAGCCCACATAACAGCAGTTACTAAAAAAACCCAAATTGTTTCATCCCACGCAGTGCACGCACTACACTACTAAATAATGCTAATTAATAATCAAATTTTTAGCTTTTCAATTCCCCAACTTTATAGTTTTTGTGTAAGTACTAAAGAGTATTAGAAAATATATAAATTCCTCCAGTTTCATGTTCAGGAAATTTGCACAAGTATTGGGGTGATATTTTACACCACCATTTTCATCATGAACACTGGTGATAAAAATGATTGTGGCATAATTGTGAGCAAGCAGAAGAAAATAAGAAATAGATCTTATCTGCTTCAGAAGTTAATCAGTAGGGAAATTCATATTTTTTTGATCTTCCTGTAAGAAAATCTTTTTCATGGGCATCTTCTATTTAAAAAGAATCTTGCTCAATTCAATAGAAAGTTAACTTCTACCTTATTCAATTCAATGAACACTTAACTTCTATCCCACTTTTCTTCTTTTCAGGTTAATTGTTGGAGCAAAATTTTTATAGATATTCAAGCTTGTCACATGCTTTATCATTCTTACTGGAAGGTAAAACTCAAGTGGTTTTTGACACAGGTGCGAAGCAAGTCTATGCGGAAAGGATAGGAAAAGCCTTTATACGATACGCAAGTTGTTAATTTTTATTTAAGTTTTTAAATGATGAGTTGTTATTGTTTTTAGTATTCCTTCTGTCCCATTTTATGTGGCAACATTTGACTGGACACAAAGTTTAAGAAATAATGAAGACTTTGAAATATTTGTCAAATTGCCCTTTAAAAAAGTAGATTCAATTTTTTCTATACTCATAAATTTATTGAGTACTATATTTAAGATTAAGTGGGACCAACAAGGGTAAAAGAGAAATTGTACCTTTTAATAATTACCATATAAGTAAATTTAACATTCATTTTAAGACTTACCAAAAAAGAAATGGTGTCACATAAAATGAGACAGAGGGAGTATATTTTTTTTGGAAAAATTACATAAACAAAGACCTTTTATTTTATAATTACCAATTTTAAGTACACTTTTTATTTATTACCATTTTTGTCAACTTTTAGCTATAAAACAATTTAAAACCCATTTATTCCTTTTTTATACAAATTTTAAACAAAGTAAAACATATTATCGTCATATCCTTTCTCACTCTTTTTGTTTCTTTCTCCTCCTCCTCGTCAAAAATTAGGGTTTCTGTTTGTTTTTTTCTCCATTTTTCTGTACGAATTTTAATGGAAGAAGGTCTTAGAAGAAGTCCGCGTCTAGTGAGGGCTTCGAATCCAAAAGTTTATCGAAGAAATCGAAAGAAGCTTCAAGTTTCGTCTTCTAATTCTATGGATGAAATTCCAAGTTTTAGTTTGGGTATATCACAAATTTCGGGGGAGAAGAACAATGAGGAGAAGAACAATGAGGAAGAAAACAAGAAGCAAAAGAAAGGTAAAAAACGAGTTAAAGAGGTTAAAACAATGAAGAAATAAAAAAATATGTGTTACTTTGGCATCTACATCGAAGAAAATCGTTGACAGTGATAATGATTTTGAGGATTTACCTCCTCAATTTCAGTCAAAAAGTTTGAAAAATAAAGATGGATTGGAGAAGAAAAGGCCGGTGAATGATGGAAAAACACGAAATCGTTTACCCAAAAGTGTCATTCTACCAGAGAGTAGATATCCGGTATGTGCTAGTACTTCTTAGTTATTTGTTGTTTAGCAATGGGTTGTATGTTGATTGCTGCTTGTTTTTTAGATGTAGTATGTGAAATTATCTTTAATTCAACTTTCATTCAACTTTAATTCAACTTTAATTCAACTTTATTTCAACTTTAATTCATTTTTTATTCATCTTTAGTATGTAGTAACACATTTTTAATTCATGTTTAATGCATATGCAGGATCGTAAATTCTGGAAACATCCTGATGTTGTGTATATTTCGAGTAGGTGGTCATGTTACACTAATCATAGTGTCATTGAACAAATCAAACTATCTTTATCTGATAAACAACTTGAGATGTTTTTTAGGAATACATGTTTTGGGTACTTTCTTGACCTTCCAAAATCGAGCACACAACTACAACTTATTCATTGTCTTATAAATAGAGAGTTAAAACATACACCGGATGATGTGTTTGCTATTGAAATAAATAACAAAAAGTTATTTTTTGGTCTTAGAGAATTTGGGATAGTTACAAGCTTAAATTGTGTTGGTGATGGCACATCTATCAATGTTCCCAATTCTAGATGTAGTTTGATGAGTAGTTATTTTCCGGAAAAAATCACAGTTCCAAAGAGTCATCTACGTGCACTGTTTTTAGCTAAAAAATTCATAGATGATGACTCGGCTGTTTCATTGGTTGTTCTATACTTCATTAATGATTTTTTATTTTCATATGAGGACAACGAATACCAAATTAGCAATAGAGATTTTTACCTTGTGGAAAGTGGAAAATTCAATTCATATTCGTGGGGTTTAGATGTCTACAAAAAGTTGTCTGATTCTGTGAGGCATGAGCTTAAGTCAACACATAAGTACTATAGAATTGGTGGCTTGCCTCTTGCTCTTCAAATTTGGATATTTGAGTGTTGTTCAAAGGTTGATGAAGATATAGCTATTCGTGTTGCTGATTCTATTCCAAGAATCTTGAATTGGAAGACAATTGCAGAAAGTCCATGGTTAAAATATATTGAGAAATGTCTCTTCATGCCTACAAAAAACAAGGTATTTGTACAAAGTTAATACATTTTATTACATTGTTTATTTGAACTCAAGTTACTATATCTAATGTTATTTTGTGTATTTGGTTTTTCAGTTTGAGAACATAGTGGCCAGTGAAGATGAAGTATCCAAATTAAGGCTTCCTGAAACTCGTGATTACCATGTTGAAATTTTGAAATTGGAGCCTAAAGGATTAAATCATGGTCTAGACATTTTGACCAATGAAGTCATAGAATTGAGAAAAGAGCTTGTAAAAGTATACACAAACTAAACTTTAGGCTTTTTATTTTAAAACTGTTATTTTTTTAATATTTTCGTTATGATTTAATATCTATTAGGTTAATGAAAATAACAAAGCGCTTGAAGAGAAGATTGATTTAGGATTCAATCAAATCAAAGAATTTGTGGTGAACTCAATCAAACAATTATTGGAGGATATTTCTTTGCTGTTTGCTAAGAGTGGTGGTAGCAGCTCTGTTATTCGAGAAGTTAAGGAACCATCTAAAAAGCATGCTGGCGAGACATTTTCAGGTGGATTAGATTTTAATGGAGGTTCGTTTATATTTTCAGTAAATTTCTGTTATATTCATAATATAATTTTAATATATAGTTTAGTATTTTCTTCCACTTAATCAATAAATGACACGAATTTGATATTTCATTTTTCAGTTAACTTTGATAGGTTTTTTTAATAATATGTTAATTACATATACAACATTTTCTCCCCGTGTTAATGCATCTGTAAATGAATCGAGAGGGAACGATGCTCATGTTATGGGATCAAATCAAAAATAAGAATCTCAAGTGCTTAAAGCTACAGTTAGATTTGCTGATGTTGAAAATTTTGATAGAGTATCAAGTAAAATAGGTAATGAAGGATTTTATACAAATATATTACATATTTCATATATTTTAATTCAATTCTGTTTTTTTAAATGTTCTTGTTATGTAAAGATGAAGATGTTGCAGAAATTGCTATTGAAAAAGTTCTGTCAGAGGTTGTTGCTGATATAAATGGTATTCATTTTCTTAACTTCAACTAAACTTCTTTCGATTTATTTTGATAACATTATTAAAATATTTATTTTGCTTACAGTCCAAGAGGCTGCTGATGTGAATACAGTTGGGGCGAAACCTGATGGTAATGTAGTAAAAAACCAACATAAATAAGTGTTGCATCTGTTAATTGTAAATTAATCAATATATCTATTATCTGCAGATGCAACAGAGGATTGTCAAAAATCTTTGCATACTTTTGATGACTTTATTTTACTTGATAAAGATCTTTCTCAGATCAATAGGACTGAAGAATCTTATCTAAAAAAAAGAGCCCAAGTTGATCAAACAAAAAGAAAGTGTCACCGAAGAAACGTGGCAGAAAGAAAAATCCAGGAAAGTTAATAACATCTCCCTTCACACAACATTTTGAATCTGGAGGAACTTTATGTGTTACACGTCAGGTTTTTGAGACAAAACATCTTTTTTTATATGCAAGCGGAGGAGATGATGAATCTGATTTGATCGATTCATTCACTAAGTGGCTTTATACGGGTACAAAAAAGAGGTAATTTATTTTGATATTTTTGGGATAATTTTCCTAATTCATAATATATACAAGCTTAATTCAACTTGTGGAACGCTCTGTACCTCTTTTTTAGTTTCGTATTTGCCTCTTTTTTAGTTGTTCCTGTCTCGGTTTTGAGTATTTTTTTTATTTTTGTTCTGTTTTGATAGGGGAAAGAAACCTTATACAGATGCTCTTAATGTTATCAATCCAGCATTTGAATTGGGTGTCTGTACGGTAGATGAAAGACTCTGGTTTTTCAAATTGGCACATTCCGGACAACAATGGTGTGATGAGGTTTGTTATATAAATTTTAGTTGGACGTTAATATTTCTTTGATTCATTCTGTTTCTTAATCTTGAGTTTGCCTTTGTCTCAACTAAAATTCTTTCTGTTTAGTTGTGTAGATAGATTGTATTTTTCATCTATTGAAGCTCTTTAGTTGTGTGACATTGCAATTCTATAACTTGCAAGTCATTTTTCTTTCTGTTCTTGTTCCCTTTGTCTCTGTCTTTCAAGAGGGACAAAAGCTCAGGATATTGCGAAAAGGATGAAATTTGTAATCATGTTCTTGTCATTTTAGCTTCAATTCTTTTCTTTTGAGGTTCATTGTATCATTAAGAATCCACATATATTCATATACATGAGCTAAAATATTATATAAAATATGTCAGCTTCAGTAAGTTACTGTTGTCTCTAAGTTTTTTTCTGGTAGAAATTGAACATCTTCATAAGTTCTATCACTATTCTGTTTCACCAATATGTGATGAATGAGCCACACTTGGGGCGAAAACAGAGTTTTTCCTTAACTTTGAGTTGAAATTTCTGCACTGTTCTATCACTGTTCTGTTTCATAAGTTTTTTTTTGCAGCATATTGATGTCATTTTCTATTACCTAATAAATAAAGGAAAATATGAAACCAACAGTAATGTTCGTTTTACGACGACTGATTGTGTTTTCAAGACAAAGATTACCAATTCTTTCTTTAAACTTTGTGATGCTCATGAGGATAAGAAAAATTTTAAAGTTTTAGATTCTGATGATATTACCCGGTATATTAGTGGACGTCGTTTGTTGGCAAGTACTTCGTGGGATAAAGTGGATTTTGTTCTTATTCCACTAAACATTAAAGAGAATCGTCACTGGATTTTTGTGGTGTTTGATATTGGGCAAAGGTCATTGGAAGTGTATGATTCATTTCCGGCTAGGGGTGGGGTGAATTTAGAGGTAAAAAATATTGTTGAGATGCTTTCGGTTGTTTTACCATATTATCTAAGTGTGGTTAAGTTCTATGATAAGCGTCCTGAATTGAAGTCAACACCAAAATACAGTGAGATAAATGAGTTCGAGAAAATTGAGTTTCATTTCATAACTAAAGATGTTCCCAGACAAAATGAGGATTCGCTGCAAGTATTATCAAACATGTGTTTTTTTTAATTATTAAATTAATTTTTTGATAATAATTTTATATTGAATTTTGTAGGGATTGTGGAGTTTTCGTTGCTGCATTTGCGGAGTTTGTAAGTAATGGCCAACATATTCAAAATCAACAAGTAAAGGCAGACATTGTCCGAAAGAAATTTGGAGCTATATTATGGGAATATGCAAGAAGGAAGCAAGCGAGTGACCTTCAAAGTGAAGACGAAAGACCAGTTAGATAAAGGAATATAGTTATATTAGTTAGTATGACTATGAAAACTATATAATGTAAAACAATTTGTAGTTACTATGGCTATGAAAAATTGTATTGGTCTATTTTGTAAGTCTTGATATTATATACCTAGCTGTGTTGTTTATATGTAAGTCTTCTATTTGAAGTTGTTCCTTCTTTGTGTCCTTATTGATCCTTTCTGTTTGTACTTCCTCTAAGGAATTTTGTCTTTGCAGTTGGAATGCTACATATGTTAGTTTATTTGGGAGCAACAAGCTGTTGCCCATGTCTATCCAGCTTGCTGGAAGTATGCATGATTGAGTTTAAAGAAGTCAATGCTCCTCATACTTCTTTTTGAATGACACTATGAATGCTCATGTAAAACTGGCAGGAAATGGTAGTAAAAAATTATAATTAGGTTGATTTAAAGTTATAGTTTTATTTGAATATGTAATTTGAGTAGTTAAAAATTGTAATTTTCGAGGTAAACATGAAACCTCAATAAGTTGTGAAAACTATAAAAAAATCATGTATTTTTTTTGTTGCAACTATATGAACTTCTGTGTTACGAATCGATACTATTTTTTTTTTTGAAATCCTATTTTTCTTTATAGAATTAGAACAAGACATTAATCTTAAAATTTCAACAAGTGAATTAAACCTGAATTAAACTTGAATTAAATCTATATTACACAAATGGTAACAATTGAATTAAACCTGAATTAAACTTGAATTAAATCTATATTACACAAATGGTAACAATTGAATTAAACCTGAATTAAACCTAAGCTAAAGTTGTATTACACAAATACTAACAAGTGAATTAAACTTTGAATTAAAGCTATATTACAAAAATACTAACAAACCAAAAACATACCAAGCATCACCCGAATTCTCCAACCTGACAAATATACTCAGCAAGACATTTCCAAGCCTTAAGCTCAACTGGGTTATTCCAGTAAACTATATCATTTCATCTATATATCATATAAAATGTAACTATACACATAGAAACATTCCAGTAAACTGAATAACATAAGATTGCACAACTAAGAAAGCATTCTATTAAACTGAATAACACGAGATTGCGGAACTAAAAATATAAACCATATAACCGAACATGATCCAAATTCGTAGAGTCAATGAGCTTCTAAAACAAATTATTTTTTTATTCTTGATCATAAGACCTGACATTTTTGCAAGTCTTCCTGTTGTGATCATGTTGTCCACAATTGTTGCATGTAATTTTTGCCTTCTTGAATTCATCTTCTCTCAGTTGAGTATGTCTTTTATTTTTTGGCCTTCCCGGAGGTCTCTTTCCATGAGGTGGAAGTACAATATCTTCAAGAACATGTGTTGGTGTGTTCCATGTACTTTCATTTGGCAGGGGATCCATTTGAAATTGATATGTCAACAATAAATTTTTTCTTGTATAGTAAGCCGAACAATATTTCTCATAACCAGTGTGTTTTATTGTTAAAACGGCCAAAGCATGTGGACATGGTAACTCATCCAATTGAAATCTCCCACATGTGCATGTACGTTGGTGAAGACATACTGTGAATTGTGTAATACCATCAAGTATGATATACACATATTTATTTGTCTCTACAACCTATGAAAAAAAATATATATTCAAGAGAGATGTTAGATATGAATCCGAAGAAAAAATACTAGCAAACAGATTAGGCATACCTTTAATTTCTCTGATGCAGTTTTATTGCGCCGCAATATATTTTCATACTTTTTTCCAAGGTGAAAACCTGAAAATGTCGCCTTTGATCTGTTATTGTTATTCCATTTCTGTACAAGTTGTCTCATGAATTCCAAGAGTTGCAAGACTGTAAGAACTTTGGCATGTCTTGTTCGTGAATTGACTGATTCTGCTATATTTGTTGTCATCATCCAAGTTCTGTTTACTTCAGCATGCACACGCGACCATTTGTTGTATCCAATGTTCAACAAGTAATCTTTGATCCTCTTATCTATCTTCTCAACCATTGTCATACATTGATTAAATTCTGTCATGGTGTATGTTTTTGCCATAGAGTAAAACAACTCAGTGACCCTTTGTTGACTTCTTCTGAAATTTTTCATTATGTTTTGCAGTAAGTGCCACATACATGCAAAATGAGGTACTTCATCATAAACTGTTGAAACGGCCTTAATAATGCTTGCATGCCTATCGGAAACGATACACATCTCTGGTCTTTGACCAAATGCATCTCTGAATTGCTCAAAAAACCACCTCCAAGATAAATCATTCTCTGAATCGACAATAGCATAAGCAAGTGGCAATATACTCCCTGCACCACGTACACTTTTTTTAATACAAGTTTAATACATTTTTACTGCAATCATAATTCAATTTTAATACATAGTTCAAAAATTCAATATAAAAAACAGTATCATATTCGAAAGTCTAACCTGCTGCATCTAAGGTATTAGCGGTTAGCAGTGTCCCTTTGTATGCTCCCTTTAAGAAAGTTCCATCAACAACTACAATTGGTCTACAATATTCCCATCCTTTTATCGAGGTGAACAAATCTACAAACGCATATAAAAAACGGTCATCCTCTGATTTGTGAAATCTTATATGAGAACCAGGGTAAGTCGCCTCTAGTATGTGAAAGTAGCTTGGCAACTCTGCATAGGATTGAATTGGATCACCCCGGATTAATTCAAGAGCTGCTTCTTTAGCTCTCAAAGCTTGCATATATGTGAGTCGCACACCATATTCAGCTAACATGTCACGTTGTATGTCTTTTGGTGTGTAATTAGCATCTGGTTCAGCATATTTACCCACAATAATACTCTCAACAACACTCTTAGTTGCTAGCCTTTCCGATAATGAATTATGTAGCAACAAACAAGTGTGTTCGCTTTCAAATTCTCTAATCTTGAACATTTCATATTTGTTCAAGCTTGAAGCTCGTAAACTCCAACTGCAGCTTTCTCCTAGGCACTGTATCAAATAGCTGTAGAAAAATATTAATACACAATTAATAATTTAAAGTGACTTGAATTTAGGTCTTACCTTATTGCGCTTGATCTTGTTATCTTGAATTGAAAATGATTAAGAATGGAATGTCTTTTTAGTGCACTAGTGAGGACATATTTATTCTTATACACCTGATCTTTTTCAAATAAAGAGTTATTGGGAATAATAATGATGCCTGGTGCTAATTCTTCTAGCTCATCAACTTCCTCACATGATCCGAATCCAATTAACCCTATTGCTTCATCAATATCATTAAATGTATTAGAGAAGTATGAATTGTGTATAACCCTCATATCTCCTGAAGTGTCTGAACACAAAAGTGGAATGAGTGCAACATTAGTCTCCAAGTTGACTGGTTCAGTTGTTGTGACACATAAAGGATATCTTGTCATATCTCGATGTTCCTTTTTAGTTTCAAGATATACCTTTACCCCCTTATCATTATGAATTTGAATTGGAGGAGACCTTTCATCAATTTTATATCTAATTTCAACTTTACTTGTTGATGTGTCTATTGACAATTGAGTAGCAATTACAGAAACGAGGGTGGCAAACGTTGACTCTGTGTGTATCAACACACCATCTGCCAAGTAGTTAATATATTTGTTGCTAGGATCCCATCGTCCATTGAAGTAAAGCATCACCGCTATATTAGTCATATTTTTTCTGCACATCATTAAAGAGTGTATTACTATTATTAAAGGACTAGAGAGAGACATATAGATTAATCTGCTAAAAGAGCATCACTTTGCTAACAACTGAATTAAATCTTAATAAAATCTAAATTAAAAATTTATCACACAAATGCTAACAAGTGAATCAAACATGAAAAGAAGTTGTATTACACAGATGCTAACAAGTGAATTAAAACTGAATTGAAGTTGAATTACACATATGCTAACAAGTAAATTAAAGTTGTATTACACAGATGCTAACAAGTGAATTAAAACTGAATTGAAGTTGAATTACACATATGCTAACAAGTGAATTAAACTTGAATTAAAGTTGTATTACACAGATGTTAACAAGTGAATTAAACCAGAATTAAAGTTGTATTACACGGATGCTAACAAGTGAACTAAAACTGAATTGAAGTTGTATTATACAAATGCTAACAAGTGAATTAAACATGAATTAAATGTGTATTACACAAATGCTAACAAGTGAATTAAACATGAATTAAAATTGTATTACACAATGCTAACAAGTGAACTAAAACTGAATTGAAGTTGTATTACACAGATGCTAACAAGTGAATTAAACCTGAATTAAAGTTGTATTACACAAATGCTAACAAGTAAACTAAAATTGAATTGAAGTTGTATTACACAAATGCTAACAAGTGAATTAAACATGAATTAAAGCTGTATTACACAAATACTAACAACTGAATTAAACTTGAATTAAAATTGTATTACACAGATGCTAACAAGTGAACTAAAACTGAATTGAAGTTGAATTACACATATGCTAATAAGTAAATTAAACCTGAATTAAAGTTGTATTACAAAGATGCTAACAAGTGAACTAAAACTGAATTGAAGTTGTATTACACAGATGCTAACAAGTGAATTAAACTTGAATTAAATTTGTATTACACAGATGTTAACAAGTAAATTAAACTTGAATTAAAATTGTATTACACAGATGCGAACAAGTGAACTAAAACTGAATTGAAGTGTTACACAAATGCTAAAAAGTGAATTAAACCTGAATTAAAGTTGTATTACACAGATGCTAACAAGTAAAATAAAACTGAATTGAAGTTGTATTACACAAATGCTAAAAAGTGAATTAAACATGAATATACAGATGCTAACAAGAGATCATACTTATTAGAGAAGAGAACTGAATACCAGACACTCACAGGAACTTGAATCAAACGAAATCTCAACATAAATCTACACAAAAAGAAGAAAGGTGTAACGATCTGGGCACTGTCAAGACCACAATTGCAAGCTCACATTAAAGGATCAGTTAAGTGCAAAGGAGACCAACAAAAATCGCAGAATGCAGTGCAAGTAACCTAAACTAACAGATCTTACTCAACACTAACCTTTAAATTGCAATGGCGAGAGAAAATTGAAGTCGCCGGAAAAAAATTGCAATCACGAGAGAGAGAAAAAATTGCATTCGCGAGAGAGAAGAAAAAATTGCAGTCGCGAGAGAGAAGAAAAAATTGCAATTGCGGGCGTGGAAAAATTTTGAGGCGAGAGAAAAAATATGAAGTTGAATATTCAATTAAATTGACATTTATAGTTAAAAAAATAATACTGAAAAATATGGTAATTATTTTTTAAAAAGTAGACACACAAGTTAATTTCCTATTTTTTTTTTTCTCATTTGTTTGAGCCCAATATGACTACAATTCAATTTTCTTGAGAAATCAGAATACGTCGACATAAACTTTAATAGCTTTCGACTACGGTGTCTCCAAGTGAAGATTTTTGATACGGTATGTCAGAGCATGATATTTTACTTTTTACAGATATATGTTATGAAATTTCATATACAATTGATTTTGCAATCGAATATATATATATATATATATATATATATATATATATATATATATATATAACGCGAACACCATAAATTTTTTTCTCATTTTTTGGACAAGGTATAAATTTCAGTGGTGTCGAATAAAATAGTATGTAGATTTATGCAAATACATCGTGGTGATGAAATCATTGAGCTGCCAAATTAAAATATGACACGGCAAATTTTGCTACTGAAATGTATTAGCTTCTAATTTCAATTAAATTGTATGATATCTCTCAATTAATAAAAAGATCAGAATTATATTTGAATCACTATTTTCTTATTATTAATTTCTCCTAAATTGTATGGTTTTATTCTAAAAGTTTCATTCTAATTAATATCTACTTATTCATCATATACATAATTTAATTATTAATTTTTTCTCTTATTTATTGGGACTTATATATAGGGGTGTACATCGATCGGTTCAATTTGGTTTTAGGTATTAACAGTTTGATTTATTGTTCTCAGTTTTTAAATATATTAACCCATTAACAAATCAATAAGATATTTTTTATCGATTTTTGATTTATCAGTTTTGATCGTTATCGGTTCGATTTTCGATTTACTCAATAAGAAAATGATTGTATAATATTATATGACTTCTCACTTTTCTAAATAATTTGACATGGTAAAACAAGAAAGATAATGAAAAATTGTATCAATACGAGAAAATATAGTTAAAAAGCTATAGTACATGTCATGACCGCCAAAACATAACATGGAATTTCTTATGTTAATCAATATAACAAACTTTTACAAACTTGCAAAAGTCACAATCTACAATTACAAACTAAAACTAAAAGCAAATAGCTCAACAAGGCTAAAACTAAAACTAAAATCAAATAGCTACAATTGCAAACCTAGTGTGAAGTGGGTACAATACTAATAGTTTGATATAGTTATGATGTCTAGTTATATATTAAATTATTAATATATAATATTTAGGAAGGGTAAAGTTATAAATTATTATGGTCTTATTGGGTTATCAGTTTACCCAATAACTCAATAGTAAAAATCGATATCTGTTAACTTTCCCATTGTTAGTTAATATAGTTAGGCTGTTAGTTTTCCTATTTTCTGTTAATACAGTTGGTTAGTTAGTTTAGCATGCACATGGTTAGTTAGCTGCAAATTCCGTTAGTTAGTGTGTGTGTGTTGTAAGCGTGAGTGGAGTGATTAGAGTTGGTTAGAGGAATTATATATACAGATCACATGTAAAATCCAAAAATAAGATTTTACAACTTTTCCCTTCTTTCTCCTCTTCTTCGTCTTCAAACTCAGCTTGTTCCTAGAGGCTTGAATGGAGTAATTTCGAACTCCTTGCTAGAATTTGTCATGGTATCAGAGCGAGGTTAGATCAGAACAGTGTAGGCTGATTGTATACTGTGAAGAAGACAACAACAGACAACAATGGTGGCTAGAAGAATTGATCCAAATGATCCACTGTACATAGGTCCATCAGATGCTTCAAGTGCAGTTATGATTCCTATCAAACTCACAGGACCTGAAAATTATAGAGTATGGAGTAGATCAATGAGAATTGCTTTGACAGGGAAGAGGAAAATTGGATTCATTACAAGAGCTTGCAGCAAATCTCTGTATCGAGATGAGTTAGATGAACAGTGGGAAACATGTAATGCAATTGTGCTATCTTGGTTGATGAATTCAGTTAGTGAAGATCTTCTAAGTGGAATAGTATATGCTACTAGTGCTTATACAGTTTGGCAAGACTTGAAAGAGAGGTTTGACAAGGTTAATCGAATGAGGATTTATCAATTGTACAGGGAGATCAACACACTCTCACAAGGTACTGATTCTGTTTCATCATACTACACAAAACTGAAGAACTTGTGGGGAGAATTTGATGCACTTATGCCATCTCCTAGTTGTTCTTGTCCAAAATCCAAAGAGTATGCTGATCATCTGTATCAGCTTAGACTAATTCAGTTTCTTAGTGGGTTGAATGAGTTGTATGAACAGGCTAAGAGGCAAATTTTGCTAAAAGGTGTTACTCCTACCATTAATCAAGCTTATGCTATGATTATAGAGGATGAACTGCAACAACAAACAACTTGTATGACTATTGCTAACAAGGTATCTGATGTAGTGGCTATGAATGTTAACAAAGGAAACAATTATAATCAAGGAAATCATAATAACAAAGGAAGAAGATGTGAACATTGTCAATATACTGGGCATACTAAGGAGAATTGTTACAGGTTAATTGGTTATCCAGCTGATTGGAAACATAGAAAAAGATCTGGTTTTAATAATGCAAGGTCAGGCCACATGCATTCTTCACCTGAAGGAAATAATCATAACCTTGTTGGAGAATCTAACAATATATCCAAAGAGAACTCTGGAGAAGCCTCAACTAGTCATCATGAAGTAAACAATGCATTTATGGCTAGAGGACATGCATTCACTGATGGGGAATATAAGCAAATAATGGACATGTTAGGGAAAGATAAGAGGGAAGTAAAGCAGGCCAACATGACAGGTATGGCAAATTGTTTTTCAACTAATGTTGCCTCTCATTGTTGGATAGTAGACTCTGGTGCTTCTCATCATATTACATCAAATGAACATTTACTGAAAAATAGTAAATGTACAGCTAATTCTCACCAAGACAAAGTGAACTTACCTACAGGTGACAAGGCCTCTATAACACACATAGGAGATACACATTTGTTTAACAATGAAATGATCAAAGATGTGTTGTGTGTACCTGAGTTCAAGTTCAACCTGTTGTCTGTATCACAGTTAACTAAGGAACTATCTTGTTTTGTTTCCTTTTACCTTGAATTCTGTATATTTCAGGATCTTTACAGTGGCAGGGTGAAGGGGATTGGTAGGGAAGAAGGGAGCCTGTACATATTCAGAACTGATTCTGGCATGAAGAGCAAATGTGACTCAAAGTCCTCAGAAAATTGTTGCAGAGGTATCACTACAAGATTGTGAATTGTGGCATAGAAGGCTTGGTCATCCTTCAAACCAAGTATTACATTGTTTAGACATATTACATAATAATAAAGACACTGATCTACTTACCAGTTGCACAGTATGTCCATTAGCTAAACAAACTAGATTGTCATTCCCTATCAGTTCATCAAAA